TATATAGATATATATGGATATTGTCAGGTAACATTCATATGGAAAGTACAGAAACTTTCCCGTTATAAATTGCGTATTTAATCGTTTCAGCTTTGGCTCAAGTGGAAGCAAACTGCTTTGTCATTTTTTTGTTTTTGTCCTTTTGTACAAGAATGCTACTTATGAATGCAACATTAGGTCACACTTAGACGCCATTCACACTGAGCGTTTTGTAGAGCGATTTCCGCTCAAAAATCGCTCAAATATGAAGCTCAATGTAGCTCTTTCAATGGAGATGTTCACATCTCACAGCTCAATGTCGCCTATTCCTTGTAGCTGAAGCTTGTCGCACGAACATGATCTATTTGTCGGCGGATTTCGAGCGATTTGGCCTCAATAGACTTTGATAGACTGCCAAAAGAAGTGCTACGTAGCGCGACAAAATGTGCTCTGTAGCTCAATGTAGCTTAAAGTCGATCACCTCAAATCGGCGCTGGAAAAGCTTGTAGCTCAGTGTGAATGGGGTTTTACCTTGCAAGTGTGCCCTTCTCCAGCACTATCAAATCGATCTTCAGTCCTCAGTGCTATCCCCCAGCCATCTCCGACACTTCCGGGTTTTAGGGAAGTCCACTTCAGCCATTGAGTGGCTACTGAAGCATCCAAACAGGACTTTCATCGCCCCCAGCCTATTCATAGAATCTTAAAGATGCCATGTACGGGCTGAGTGTGTACACTGCACTGTGCAAGCACTACACAGAAAACTGAATGTCATTGGGGGAGAAAGGAAGAATTTTACATGTCTGCTTGTCTCTTTTAATAAAAATCCCCACCCCCCAGCAATGTTTAATTTTTTTTTTCCACTTCTGCTTTGAAGGGGTCTGTTTACCCAAAATTGATGTTTTTTCTTTTGCTAAATGCTGGAGAAGCAAACCACTTGAGTATTATTTATATTGCTCTGGAACTCATATCTGTCCATGGGTTCCTCAAACTGCACACCTGTTGTGGCCATTGAATGGGGTCCCGCTCTTTCTGGTGGCATTTGTATTAGGGAGAATATAATATAAAGTGCTGGAATATAGGCGGCTGGAACTATAGCTGTTTGATATCCAAGGCATATAAAAAACCAAGGGCTGACTCCGTACAGCAGCTGCCCCAATAACTAAAATCACTTTTGCGTGGACTGACCCTTTAAAATGTTCAGTCCGTGAGTCCATGGAAATGCAGGTTCTTGCTGTCCTGACTTTTCCTACACAGAGTCCCTTCCAAAACACCAGCACCTTGATCATTTGACGTTTACATTTCTGACAATGCTGACCCTATTGCATATCCTTTCAAGACTTTTCATGTTCCTGGGAATGTTGTATTCCAGTATTAATCATTGCAAACTCTCTTAACTAATAGTAAAAAAAAAACTAACAATGATCTGCAGTTTCTTATATTCTTCTCTTTCAGGAATTATACTGAATGTTATTAACACAATGCTATTAAAGTTTACAATCTATTCTCTTGTTTATTTCAATGATCTAACCTGCAGCGATGATTCTCACGTGCTGTTTCCTATTTTGGGCACAAGGTGGCAGTATATGCAGCGATTTCCAGTCAGAGCCCTCACCTTAAATGACTCCTGTAATTCATGCACTGCCTATAGGGATCTGTGTCTTATCTGAGCAGCAGGACCTTAACTCCTGTGCTGCTATAGAAGAAGACATTGTTGTGCACTGGAAGCTTTCAAATCCCTTTCTGGCTGTGACCGATGGCCTGGTGACAAAAAAAATCCCAATCTTTATCTCGGGACTCCCAATTCCTAATCCACGCAGAGAGACGGGCTATTATCCTTATGAATCCAAAAGATAAGAAATACAAGTGTAGGATAAATATGTGAATATGTTCCAACAAGTGGACGGCTGAATTAAGACTGTGTAGCCCAATGGATTGAATGTATGGTTACAAAAAGGTTTAATATCAAATAAAAAGTCCATACATTTAATAATTCATTGCAAACCCCAATGATGTGTATTAAATAACACTGGTCATAAACAGAGGGGCTTCTGAGTCCTCATTTGCATTCCTGAAACACCTTGATTGGGTCCAAAATGTGCATAAAGGGCCAATCCGGGAGAAGATTTGTTTCCTTTTCTCCGTGGAAATGAAAGGTTCAGCATCTAGCAGCAATTTGATTTTCCAACATGCTGCACAAATGTGTGCAATTAGCGCCGGTGACACTCAGAAATGCTAATTGTTGACCTCTAGTTAACCCCTACATGGCACAATAGTCTCCCAATTGTAGTAAGAGGCTCTTAGCATGTTTGATGACAGTCGTGACTGGGCCAGACATTCTGGTGCTGTCACACTAATTAGTGCTGAATAGGGATAGGTGAATCTCCCAGGGTTCACTCGGCTGGGGGAATGTCATGGAATCGTGCTTGAAATCCACTGAAGTCTATAGGGGGAAAAATCTTGACACTAAAATCTGCCCATTTTCAAGGCTAATAGGCAAGCTTTTGTCAAAGGGCACCGAGAGGCGGCATGGGGGACATTTAACAAAGCAAAAGAGAATGTAAAAAAAAATCCATGCAGCGGAGAGAAGGTCCTTTCAATGTGACTTTGAGGTCAACACCAAAAACGCTTCACCTCCGGAGCCATTTTTTCATCTTTTGCTCACATGTTGAAATCTGCATTTTTGTCTACAAAATGACTTTAACCACTTGCTGTCCGGAGCAATTTCTTACTATTTGCGTAATGATAAAATCAGAATTCTTGGCTAGAAAATCGCTTTAGACCCCCAAACACTTATATATTTTCTGAAAGAAGATGCTAGTTGCAATTCATGTCACTCAGTATTTGCACAAATGTTTATCAAACCAGTATTTTTAAGATAAAATACACTAAAATGAAATTTAGCGCACAGAAACTTTCGATCCTCGTCTTTTTTCTACAAAATTATAGATGAGGTTTTGTCAAGTAAATAGATACCAAATAGGTGAAGCCCCAAAATTGTATGTGCCAGCCAATGAGGAAAAACGACAGTACCCCCAAATTATTGATTAGGCGATGCTTTAAAAGCCTCCACTGCTCATCAGTTTAGAGGTAACCGTAAATGATTTCTCTCAGTTTGGCGTGCGAGGGGATACCCGATATATGTTGTACAATCGTGGTTTATATACACGTGTGACAGCACTTATACCCTTCCTCTTCACTGGTCTCATCCTTCAACTCCATTGCAGCTAGCAGTCACTCCCTACCCCAGCACCCAGAGTGTATGCAACAAATCTGGCTAGATGCTGCCATGCTGTGTTGCAAGTCATATGTCTGGGGGAATCTCTTGATAACCAGAAGGTAGACACACTGGGCCAGAGCTGTTGGCAGCTTTCCAGGCCAAGAGGTGGCTGACCCCACCCCATCCCATCTTCATCTAGGCAAGTGTGACAGTGGGTCCACCCTTTGCCTGGGAAAAATCTCACATGTACCTTGCTTGGCCCATGTTCTCAACTTGCTGGTGCAGCAGTTCAGCATGAAGTACTGTGGTTTTCAGGAGGTCCTTTGTCGGGCCAGAGGGATTTGTGGCCACTTTAGGCAAATATACCCAGCTAGTGTTCACCGGGCAGAAATGCAGCCCTAAAATCAACTGCCTGCCTCCTCTCTGCCACCCTCACGAGCTGGAAAACACATGTGGCCATGCTACAGAGGCTGCTGTCCTCCTCTCTTTCCTCCTTCACCTCTTCCTTCTCCCTATACTCCTCCTCCCCGTTCTCCTTCACTGAATCATCCATGGTAAAGAACTAAAAACAGCCTCCATCTTTCAGTTTCCGGCCTAAAGTAATATTTATTAAATCTCACTTCAATCCCCCTTTGCACCTCAATGGCCTTTTCCTGTGCATCTTTCTCCATGAAAAAGAGGGGAAAGTTAGGCATACAATCCCATGCTATAGCTGCCCGCCCTTCCCCAGATTGAAGCTTTGAAACTCGAAACAGCACTCGCCAACACCCACCCGACCATTTCTAGTAACAACCTCCTCGTGCCAAGTTTTTGGGTTTTTGTTGCAGCGGAAGATAAAAATGTCCCTGAACCCCCCACACGGCCAGCACCTGTATGCCAGCTTTGCACTTCAACTGCTTCCAAACCAGCTGGTGATAACAGCCCCGTCCCTCTAGTTCAAGGCCGGGCCTTGTCCTGTGTTCTCACTTCCTATCACATTCCTTTTCTTTTTAACATTATTTACAGATTTAAATTTTTTTTATTTCTTCCTTTTTTATGTATTATCAATTGCAGGGAGCTATTTGTCCTTTAAAGGATTTTTGGGTGTAGAGATCTGTGCACACAGACAGGGAACATAAGGAAATGTACCCTAGCACTGCAGCTCGAAGAACTCAAGGATAGTTTGTTCAAGTGGATGTAAACCCGACTACTAAAATTTCATATAAACTTTAAACATGATAATATCACTTGGAAAGTCTATTTTTATTTTAATTGGTAGCTTTCATGAAACTATCAGCTGGTGATACTGATATAAAGGTCCTTGCTTGGGCACTTTGTGTTATGGGGTTACAACGCTCTGTCTCCCCCAATCTCCTGCCTGTAAATCCCCCTGTCACTTGCTCTACCAATGGAATCTATACAGTAAGCTTCTCTGCTGATGCACTCCATCATGGTTACTATGGTGAATTCCCAGTGAGTCTGTGAACCTCCGACATGCAGGATATGCCAAGAACCTATGGTAGTGGCGAACCTGAACCCAGGGGTGTATCTACCGCAAGGCAAACTAGGCATGTGCCTAGGGAGGCACTTTCCAAGGGGGCGGCAGAAAATGCTGCCCCAAACCAATGAGGCGGACAGGGCTGGACTTGCCTTTGGGCATACTGGGCACTTGCCAGGGGGGCCGAGGCTTGGCGGCACAGAATCAGGCAGCAGCGGCTGCCTAATGAGGCAAACAAGGCAGCCGCAAGGCCCTAAGAGTGGCTGCTTATGTAAAAAGCTGACCGGAGGAGGGGAGGGCCCAGTGAGTTGCGGTCCGGCATGCTTTGTACAGGAGAAGCAGCGAGTGGCTCAGGGCTGGCCATCGCATGTGATCTGATGGTGGGATGTCCCAGAGGCAGGCTGGGGACTGCAATGTATCCTGTTGGTACTGATGGCACTTCGAGCTGCAGGTAAGAGGAGCAGAATATCTATGCAGGGAAAGGAAGTCTGCACAGTTCTCCTGAGACCCTACATGTCCTGAACAGGGTGGGTTGGAGCATATTTAGATTGAGGGGGTGCCCGAGTTTAGTCTTGCCTAGGGCAGCACAAACCAAAATACACCACTGCCTGAACCGCATCCCTAGTGCTGAATTTCAGAAAAATATCAAACGCTACCATTCAATCCACAAAGCAAAGAGCTCATGCCCACAGCGCTCAGCTGACCAACGCTGGATATTCTTCTGCAGTCTTCCCAACCAGCCACCTGAGGAAAGGCCGACATCCACAAGGCTACTTGGATGTATCCTCATGAACCATGCAAAAACACCAAGCAGGCTGGAGATGGAGATACAAGCAAGCTGTGTTCTCTACTACAGAAATGTGAGGTCACCCAATTGGCGTAATAGGAGTTTCTAAAGTCACAGGAGTTACCAAAGAGAATTATAAATGTTTTATAACAAAAAACAAATCCGATCTATAGACGCAGATCGATTGTAACCCTGCATTTAGTTAGATTGGCCAGAGTTCAGTTTTATAGCTGATCACTGCTGTAATTGCTGAACGGTGAATTTTGATTGGTTGCTGTCACCACCCATGATTACTGCGCACCCTTTGTATGTATACAGGCCTATTTGTTCCTGGGACAATGGCAGTATAGACATGATTGTTATTATTCACATACATAATGGATTTCTCATTGATATGATAAATGACACGCAAATGATGACAGGCCCAGCTGTGTCCTTACTTTGGAAATATTCAGCCCCATTCTTGCAGCCTTTGTACTGCGGTGTGGATAACGCTGGCACCTCGTGAATTCTGGGATTCGCTGTATCCTACACATGTAATTGGACAGGACACAGGCTGGGAATTAGTGTGAAGGACACGGGTCCCCAAATCCCTCACTGTGTGTCCAGTGTGATCAGATTTCCCAGGGGAGAGAGAACCAACATCACAGGGCAGAATAATGAATTCTGAATCCATTGTTCCTAGAGATTCCCACTTCTCATCTATTTCTGGCACAACCATTATAATTAGTTCTCGTCTTGCTAGCTCTGATCTGTCTGCTACTATAGTGCAATGCATTGTGGTTTCTGCAGCCTAATCAGTACATTCTGCTCTCATCATTCCTGTTTACTGCAGTCTTAGATCTGCAGTGTATAAATGGCCCTTTAGGTCCTGATTGGTCCGGAATTTACATGGCATTATTATTTCCAGTGATCCTAGAGCACCATGCCTTCAAAGCAATGAAGCGTGGCAGTTCTCACCTTAAAGAGTCACTCCAACCAAAGCTGGTGTCAGCTGTGCATGGATTCCATAGAGGTGACACACCCAGCAGCTTCTTGTATCTGCCTGAAACTAAAGCTGGCCATGAATGTCCTTAGAAACAAATCGGTTTTCCCGTTTGTTAGGTTTCTCATAGTCTTTGGGGTTAAACTGACCGTCTGTTATGACCGAAAGATGGAAAAAATGTTTTTCATATGAACAGAATTGTGGTTTTCATTCGTGAAACTCCATTTATTTCCAGAATTGAATGTTAAAATAAAACGGACTTTGAACGACATTTGGCAAGTCTCCGATGGCATTATCAGGTGTTTTATCCTATGGACGTTTGTTAGAAAATCTACCATTGTACGGCCAGCTTCACTCCGTAGACTCTGCAGGAATTATTAGGGGTCGTTCTCTCCAATGTACATTTGTGTGTGTTACAGATCATTTATTGTGTAACTGGGAGATTTCCCCATTGAGTAGAAACTAGGGATTCACCTATACCGGTTTTTCGGTATCGAGTACGGATAGCCGACATTTTTTCCCCGGTAGTCGCCGATACCAAATACCGATACCGGTAGTCCCATTAAGGAAGTCGGGAGGCGTGTAGTGACTCGCCACCCGGCTACCTGATTAGCAGGGAAGCCGTCTCCATGCTTCCTCTTCACCAGACTCGTCGTCCGGCTTCATTAGCCATCTTCCTATCCAATCATGAAGCCGGGCAGCGAGCCATTACACACTGCCCGGCTTTCTGATTGGCCGGCTCCATGCTCCCTCGTCACCAAGTGACGAGGGAGCATGGAGCCAGCTTCTCGTCCAATCAGGAAGCACGGCAGTGTGTAATGAGTCGCTGCCCGGCTTCCTGATACCGGAAGCTTGGGTATCGGGCTAGGCATCGGAGCATTTGGGCGAGTACGAGTACTCTCCAAAAAACTTGGTATCCGTAGTAGAAACCATTGAATTATAGATCGGGACTTCCCATAACTGAACTGACTACCTTGTGTGAAGAAATGGGTCTTCGGTCCTAAAGCCACACATTTCTGACAGTTGTAACATAACAATCAATGAGCACTAATGAGAGGTGTCCCCTGTGTGGATGATGCTGTGTTAGTTCAAACTTTGACTTTCATTAACCCCTTACAATAATGGAAGTCCTGAACTTCCGGCACTGAGAGCACACTGATGATAGCCAGTTGCTCCTTCTCCGACCTTGTCCTTGACCTTACTTTTCACAGAATACAACATGTGCTATGATTGGACAGGGGGGGACTGCGACATTCATGCACCCCTCCCCTTGTCCAATCACAGAGCACATTTTATTCTGTAAAAGGAATGAAACCTGTTTTATGAATGGACAATGTAATGAGTGACTCGCTATCATCAGTGTGCTAGAGCCACGACGGTACCTTTCAGTGCTGGGAGTCCAGTGCTTCCATTATTGTACAGGGTTAGTATACGTTTTCACTAATGCGGCAGCATCCAGACACATGGGACACTTCTCATAAGAGGTCATTTATTTTACATTGCAGCTGCCAAAATGTGTTTTACCCGGAGTTCTGCTTTAAATCAATTACAGATCTTCTATAAGCTTTAACATGTGTGAAGTGCTGTCCCTATTCTAAAGGAATACCTTGTGATCCCGCCATGAAGGTATTGGTTTAGGAACTTCCTGCTATAGCGTAACATCTGTTTCCCAGTTTTCCTCCTGCATTGTCACATGCTCCCCTGGTGTGCTAACACATTGGTCCAACGTTGATGTGAAGCCGCTGCTGGAGCGAGTGCATGCAGACAGGAAGTGGGTAAAAGAGTCTGGAGAAGATCAGCAGCACTGACTCACAACAGACGACAAAGAAAGGTGAAAACAGTGTTTTATAGGAAAAACAAATTGTTTATGACACGCAGTGCTTTGGCAAAGTAAATGTCATCCGGCTATGGTTTACGTCGTCCTCTTCAATACACACAATGCGCCCTTGCCATGACACCCGTATGAAGAGAAACGCGGGTTTTCTAAAGGAAGAACACAGAACATTCTGAACAGAGCTGGCAGGGAGAGGGGGAGAGCCGCTCCTCTGACTCAACTGAGTGTTCAGACTTCAGCAATTCACGTCTGTAAACAGAATTGATATTATTTGACGCATTTCTATAAAAAGGAGCCCAAAGCTCCGCCTGCTGGCTGCCAAAAGTGCAAAACTTTCCACCCAACAAAACAAATACAATATACTTCTTAAATGTTGTTTTCCAGGTTTCAGCATAATAATACAAATAGCTATCCGTTCCCTCCAAGGGGTCCGTCCTCTAATACAGACACTTCAGTTTCATACAAAAGAGCTCATGTTGTTTTATGCATCGCGTGGCATATGGAGGCTGAGAGGTTGGATCTCTTGCTCAAAGAGCGAGGTCATTCAGGTGAGTTCATTCCTTAAATGTTCTCCAAAACAGCAGATTGTGAAGAGTAAAGATTGAGAGAACACATTCTAAAGAGAAGTAATGGAATGGACATTTGTTGTAATCTGCATTTCCCCAATTGTAAATTGGTGCAGTGTTACCTCTTATGCATAGTTGTGTGTTCTATGCTTAGCTGTATTCTCTCCCTGCCAGGCTGTAAGCTCCCCACAGAGGCTGACCTGTCTCCTAGTGAGTTTAGCTGTATTCTATCCCTGCCAGGCTGTAAGCTCCCCACAGAGGCTGACCTGTCTCCTAGTGCGTTTAGCTGTATTCTCTCCCTGCCAGGCTGTAATGTCCCCACAGAGGCTGACCTGTCCCCTAGTGAGTTTAGCTGTATTCTCTCCCTGCCAGGCTGTAAGGTCCCCACAGAGGCTGACCTGTCTCCTAGTGCGTTTAGCTGTAGTCTCTCCCTGCTAGGCACTAATGTCCCCCTAGAGACTGACATGTTTCCTAGTGATTTTAGCTGTATTCTCTCCCTCCCTCCCAGGCTGTAAGGTCCCCATAGAGGCTGACCTGTCTCCTAATGCGTTTAGCTGTATTCTATCCCTGCCAGGCTGTAATGTCCCCACAGAGGCTGACCTGTCTCCTAATGCGTTTAGCTGTATTCTCTCCCTGCCAGGCTGTAAAGTCCCCATAGAGGCTGACCTGTCTCCTAATGCGTTTAGCTGTATTCTCTCCCTGCCAGGCTGTAAAGTCCACATAGAGGCTGACATGTCTCCTAGTGATCTCAGAGCTGACAAATGAAAGGGAGAAAGGTAAAACTGGAAGTTAACAAGGCCTTCCGTTTTCTTTCACATATTCCCAACCAACTTTATAAATATATCAGTTTGTAAAGTATCTGTTTTCAGCACTGAGCTCAGGCGGTATATAAGTCTCGCAACATAGAGAATACAAGTACAAGAAGAAAAAAAATCAAGCAATGCCCACGAGGTAAGACTGCACTGTTATAGCAATTCAGACGTGAAGGTTCCGATTATTACAAATGTCTTCTTGTATATATGTTCTCATTAAGGAACACTACGCTATTGTAGGCGGCATTCTGGCTTAGATATGACTCAGGTCTTTCTGTCCATTGTCCTGTGCTCTCTTCCTAACCTGCATATTTATTATCAGTGCCCCCAAAATGATTGTGTGTATATATATATATATATATATATATACACAGTGTGTGATAAGTGAAGACCTGTGCATCATCCATGATGTATTATTTGCTATAGCTATTATCTGTTGTGATGAATTTATTTTGCAGACAGAAGTACCCCTGGAAGCGGCTCCCGCTTGGAACGTTCTGGCACAGAAGATATTATGGCATTTAGGTTGTGCAATCCATTTTCAGTATAAAGCATCCTATGGTATTTGATGATCGTCTGACCACTAAATCTATAGGGGATTCCACTATATTCATTAAAGCTTGGACTAAACCATTTATCAAACAGCGGCTGAACAATTTGTAACAACCAGATCTATAACGTTATACTGTATTCTATTTAAAAAGCCGAAAATCGATCAAGTCTGTTGTTTTCTTAAGAAGGAAATCTATTTTTACATCCCTATTTTCTTTTGGTGCAGACCAAATATTATTATCTTGCCTTATATCTAATCCGCCGGGATTTATGTTTAATAAAGCAGAGTGCTTGGCTCTTTCCTTTTGCTCAGAAACAGTTAAATGTAGAATCAATTCCCTCACCTCCCCCCACACCCCTCTCTCCATTCACCCATCTCCCTCTGACACTTTCTGCTCATTAAGTGTAACTGGCGCTCCAGCCCAACACTGAATTTCAACAAATATCAGCAAAAATACCAATGAATATTTAATGGGATTTTTTTTTCTGCATCAAATCTACCTTCTCTCCCCTCGCTGGGTTCCTGAATTTTGCAATTTGAGGCCATGTTGCTGGGCAGAAAGAGAGAGAGTGTGCAGACATGGCTAGTAAGTTGCAGGGCATTATGGGATGTGTGTGCTGGAAGATGGACAATAATCCTAAGGGTTAATTATTGCAATGCATTTTCACAAGATTACTGCAACCAGCTAGTAAGCTTGAGGAGTATGCAAAAATGTCTGGCCATGAATGGGCAATTTATGCTGGCTACAGGCAGGCCAAGTGTAAGCACTCCTTATGGTGATCTTTTAAAGTAGTAAATAATGGTGGAATATTCCTGCTGTTTGAGAGAACGATTAGTCTCGTTGCTTACAGTGGACCTAATATTAAAACACAACCCTCTCACCCTAAGGCACCATGCCCCCAATTATAAATAAGGTCATAAATGCCCAAAAAGCCCTGTAACAAGTGCAGAAAATCCCCACGTGACCTCCCAGACTAGTCAATCACATGACTATATGCCTAGACATTTGGTCACATGACCTCTGCTGAATGGAGGCATCCTGGTTCAAATCCCAGTCAGGACACTATCTGTAAGGAGTTTGCATGTTCTCCCTTTGCTTGTGTAGGTTTCCTCTGGGTACTCCGGTTTCCTCCCACACTCCAAAGACATGCTGGAAGGTTTATTGGCTGCTGTCTAAATTGGTCATGTATGTGTGTGCAATAGGGACCTTAGATTGTATGTGTGTATGTATGTATGTGAGATAGGGACCTCAGAATGTATGTATGTGACATAGGGAAACTTAGATTGTAAGCTCCTTGGGGGCAGGGACTGATTTATATGTGCAGTATATAAAGCACTGCGTAAATTGTCAGTGCTATATACTGTACATACCTGGAATAAATACATAAGTAAAGCATAAATAAGTAGAACTGCTGTATGACCAGCTGTGTCTGAATCCCAATTGCCTCCAGCTGAGATTGTGTGACTTAAGGTGCCCATACACTGCACGATTAT